CCCAAACCGTTCCATGAGTCTATGATCTGTCACCTCTGTGCTTGCACAGTGGCAGGGCCTGAGCCTCCCCTTTGACACCATCCCTCTCTTTTTACTCTGTGAGACTTACTAACAACAGAAAAACACATCACAAGTTGATTTCTGTTGGCAGAGGGGTGAAGTCACCCACATGTGTCGGTAGCAGCAAGCAGATTTCCCCTCCTCCTTGTGGCTGTTCCACAGACAAGTTTGGCTGGATCTTGGGTGAGGAGATTTGGTAACCCTGAGCCCTTCCTTGTCATTCCATGGTAGGTGCAGAGCCTGACTCAGCGCTCCCAGGGCGACAGCATTGGGATGTTCCACCCACGTGAAGGTGGAAGAGCCACAAGTGGAATTCCCATTCTACATCCCTTTCCTGTGTTTCTCCCCTGGTTTTTAGTGTATTCCCACATTATCACATCCCACCTCTGTGACATGAACTTTGATACATGCTTAATATTATCAGACAGCCCAGATTACTTGGAGTAAGTGATAGATAGTGGAGACGTAAGTCCTGGATAAGTGCAGGAAATCCATTATTCCCTTGATGTTAGTAGTATTTTACCCCTTTTCAAGCCACAAGTGTTGGATCAAGTTCCCCATGGATGAATAATGCCTTTTCTAAGGGCAGCAGCACTGAGGGAAGCAGTAGCACAATGTATCCAGAAAGGAAAACAGCAGGAAAATGAGATGGGAGCTGAGGACCAGGATTGGTGCAGGAGGACGTAGCTGTTTGAAGCAGTTTAGCAAAGCAGGATTGAATCCTTAATAGGATTAGTGCCTATTTGCAGTTGCCTTTAGGAAACCTTGTCTTTGTTTGACTTCCTCCCTGTTGTAGGGAGTGTGCAGCTCCTCTGGGGAGGATGGAGACGCTGAGGAACCGGACGGTGGAGGAGCTCCAGGAGCTGCAGGAGAACACGGAGGAGATCGAGCGCCTGGCGCTGGAGTCCCAGGAGGTGCGTGGGGATGGTGGGATGAGGCTGGGCTCTGCCTGCACGTCGGATCCTGTGTCAGTTCTGGGCCCCTCACTGCAAGAGAGACATTGAGGTGCTGGAGGGGGCCAGAGAAGGGCACCGGAGCTGGAGCAGGGCCTGGAGCACAAGTGTGATGGGGAAGGGCTGAGGGACCTGGGGGTTTAGTGTGGAGAAGAGAAGGCTCAGGGGGGACCTGATCGCTCTCTGCAAGTGCCTGACAGGAGGATGGAGCCAGGAGGGGGCTGGTCTCTGCTCCCAAGGGATGGAACAAGGGATGGGACAAGAGGAACCGGCCTCAAGCTGCCCCAGGGCAGGTTTAGCTGGAGCTGAGGAACAATTCCTTGCCCAGAGGGTGCTCAGGCATTGGAACAGGCTGCCCAGGGCAGGGGCAGTGCTGGAGTCACTGTCCCTGGGGGGGTTTATAAGACCCGTGGATGTGGCTCCTGGGGACATGGGTCAGTGGTGGCCTTGGCAGTGCTGGGGCAACTTCATGATCTTGAAGCTCTTTCCCAACCTGGTTGATTCCATGGTTCCATGAGTTCTACGCCTCCTTCCACAGGTCCAGGAGCTGCAGCTGGAAAGGGAGATGTCCCTGGCTGCCAACAGGAGCTTGGCTGAGCAGAACCTCAAGTTCCAGGCACCGCTGGAGACGGGGCGCAGTGACCTCTCCAGCAAGTACGAGGAGCTGCAGAAGCTGGCTCAGAGGTGCCAGGAGCAAAGGGCAAAGCTGGGTGAGTGTTTGCCAACCTCGGGTGCCTGCTGATAGAGTCACACAGGCTGCCCTTGGTGCAACATCCTTCCCTTCTGCTGAGCTGAGGAGCTCTTGATGGTGGCACGTTCTGCTGCCTGTAAGGTCTATACTCTCCTCTTTCCTGGTCAAACCCAGCTGGACAGATCACCCAGCAAACCCCCCTCTTAGTGCAGCAGTGTCTCTAATCTTTTCCTCTCCTTTTCTCCTTGCATCAACACTTCCCAAGGCAGGAATTCCCTCCTGGCAACGTGCAGCAGGGTTGTGTGCTACTGATTTCCCTTCCTTTTGTGGCTAATGTTGTGCTTTGCTGCTCTCCTTGTTCCCCCAGAGAAGTTCTCTGCAGCACTGAATCCTCAGACCTTGCTGGATCTCCTGCAGGTGGAAAGCCAGAAGATTGAAGAGGAGTCTGAGGTGAGCTTAAGGTTTAAGTCCTTTAGCAATTCAAGTGATTAATCCTCAGAGTTGTAGTTACAATCCCCAGCTTAAGGCCTTAAATCAAGGATTATCTCTTCATAGTTTGGTGTTCTTGCTCCCAAAAGAATTGAATTGGCGCTTGTTTGGTGCTGTGGGGTGTGGTGGTCTTATCATGGAATGGTTTGGGATGAAGGGACCATAAAGCTCCTCCAGTCCCAATCCCTGCCACGGGCAGAGACACCTTCCACTAGAGCAGGTTGCTCCAAGCCCCTGTGTCCAACCTGCCCTTGAACACTGCCAGGGATGGGGCAGCCACAGCTTCTCTGGGCACCCTGTGCCAGTGCCTCAGCACCCTCACAGGGAAGAGCTTCCTTATATCCAACCTAATTCCTCCCTGTTTAAGTCTGAACCCATCACCCCCTGTCCTGTCCCTATAGTCCCTGATGTCTTCTGTGTGTCCCTGAAGCACTGATCCTGTCTTCTCTTGTAGCAAATGGCTGAGAAGTTCCTGGAGGGCGAGGTGCCCCTGGACACGTTCCTGGAGCAGTTTTCCATCATGAGGAAGTTGTCCCACTTGCGCCGGGTGAGAGTGGAGAAGCTCCAGGAGATCCTCAGGAAGTCGGAAGCGCCGCAGGAGCCTCAGGAGCAGCCGCCTCCTCATGGACCTGTGCCCACAGAGCCCCCAAAGCCACAGCCCTTCCCTTCAGCAGCTCCTTCAGCAGCTCCTTCCTTCCCTCTGCCCTACAGCCCGACCCCAAGCATGGCAGCTGGGCCCACAGCACATGGAGCTCTCCCTCCTGCCCCCTTCTCTGGCTCCCCTGTCGCCGTGGGACACGTTGCTTCCTCCCAGCCCACCTTTCCCTATAAACCTCCTCCGGCTCCTGGATACCCCCCAGCACAAGCTGCTGAATCCGGGTATCCCAAACCCCCCTCAGGAGGCTCCTCTCCAGCAGCAGGTTATTCCTGGTCTCCATCCAGGGGCCCACCTCAGCCCCCCCCATTTCCTGGCTCTCATCCCTCTCCTCCTCCACCACCCCCCAGACCCGGGTATCCTCCCTTCTTCCCCCCTGGAGCAGCAAGACCACAGTGTCCATACCCAACCCAGCCTCCTCTCCCTAACTTCCCAATCCCCCCCCAACCTCCTTACCCTCCTGGAGCACCTCCACCCTTTGGATACCCCCCACCTCCCAATCCCCAGCGCCCTGCTTGGCCTGGCTACTAAATCTGGGACTCCTGGCTCCTGGAATCTGGGACATCTTCTGCTGTTCCCTCCTCTTCATTGGGGGCTGAGGAGGAAGAGTGATGCTCTTCAACCCATGGGTGCAGAAGCATTACACAGGGAGCAGCTCCGGGGGTCAGGCAGGTTGATGCTGTCTCCATCTCCTGAGGTTTGTGATCATCTGATGGGCTGAAGTGGCCAATTCCAAAGTGGATTCATCCAGGTTTTGATGTGAAATCCAGGTAGACCCTGAGGTACTCGATGGGGATGTGAGGGGATGGCAGCCCCAAGAGCCAGACCCCCTTGTCTGTGTGTACAAGAGAGCATGAGTGTGCAAGAGTCTGCTCCATGTCTTATGCTACATGGGTCACAGATGTCTTATCTTCATCCTAAACCTTTCCACAAGTGTTCAGAAGACACTTTGGGAATCTCGGACAGTATTCCTGACACAAAACCACCTGCTGCTTTCCCCAAATCCACTAGTTTGGGGCCCCAGAGCAGGATGTGCCTGGAAGCGAGAGGCGGAGCCAGCCTGGCTTGCAGGGCATTCCTAATGTGTTGTAGCAAGGAGAAGCAACTCCCTGGATGGGCCAGGCCTTGGGGTCTATCCATGCTTTATGCTTGGATGTGGGATAACTTCCACCCCAGCTCTGCTCAAGCCCTGCCCATGGAGCTCTGAGGTGCCAGCACTGCCTCTGCCTGCGTGGTGAGTCCTGGTGTGCTCCAGAGCAGAGGCTGTTCCCAGTTTGGATGGGTTCCAGTGAGCCCAGCTCACTGGGAAGCACAAACCTCTTCACTCTACCACTGTGCCCTGTCCCACTGAGGTTTGGAGCCTCCAGTCACTTCCCAGAGCTCAATGCACGGATATTATCCATGTGTTCGATGTAAACCAGGCTGACACAATGACTTGGGGTGTTGCTGCTTTGGGGCTATGTATCTGGGGGTCACAGGAATGGGAATTGGTGCTTCCCATATCCCAACCTCTCCCATGGGGAGAACAGAGTCGTTACTGGGGTGCTTCAGGCTCCAGCCTTCCTCACATCCCCTTCTCAGGAAACACTAACGGAGGGAGCAACGACTGGGGATGTTCATGGGAATGGGATTTGCTTTGCTCAGCACTTTATCCTCCAGCTCCTGCCTGTCTCCCTGTAAGTTATTCATCAGGAACTGTTACTAATGGCCTAGGACAAGGTTTGATGGAAGCAATTCCATCGCTCTGGTTAAACACAGTAATAAAACTTGAGGAACTGCACGTGGGGTGGTTGCTTTCGGTAACAGCATCAGCCTCACACTTGTATCGATCCTTCTTCTTCCCAGTGGCATCCTCAGAGCAACTTCCTCTTGGTTTCATCACTAAAACCTTCCACCCTCTCACGGGATCAGCTGCAGACTCATCTTTCCTGCTTCCTGACTTGTCTTTCCTAAGGGGCCTGTTTCAGTTTGAACCCATCACCCCTTGTCCTGTCGCTCCAGTCCCTGATGAAGGTCCCTCCCCAGCATCCTTGTAGCCCCCTTCAGTCACTGGAAGTTGCTCTGAGGTCTCCAGCAGCTTCTCTTCCCCAGCCCCAATGTTCTCAGCCTGGCTCCGTACAAGAGCTGCTCCAGCCCCTGAGCATCCCAGTGGCCTCCTCTGGACTTGCTCCAACAGCTCCATGTCCTCCTTATGCTGAGGACACCAGAACTGGATGCAGCATCCAAGAGAATCACCTCTTTCGACCTGTCCTCTGTCACAAGGAGGGTTTTGGCCTAAGGAGCAGCACTGGTGGGGTTGGAAGGAAGAAAACAAGATGGAATTCCTAGAAAACCCCCAGTTTTATTACAATGGTTCTTGCTTATTAAATATCTGACTTGTTCCCAGTAGTTCCCCCGTCACGTCCCTGTTTCACAGCTCCAGCGGGATCTGGCAGACATGGGACTCGCAGCCTTTGTCCTGAAGCTGCCTGGCAAAGAGCAGCTCATTCTGCTTTTAGCCTGGCCTGGCTGAGAGGAAGAGTGTGATGGATCCGGGTTTGGAGACACGGAGAAGCTGGTGACCCCGCTCCGGGTAGATCTATGTGGCTGCACCAGTCATGCAGGTATGAAGCCACCTTCAACCCATCTGCCTCTTAAACTCATACAAACAGCTTAAACCCCCCTTCTCCTCACACTCTCCAGTGAGAGAAGCTCAAAAGCAAGAGGAAGCCTCCTTAGAAAGGGGCTTGAGCACCAGGATGCAGCCAAAGCTGGGTTGGGTTTGCTTAAAGCTGAGCCTCGTGCTGGTAGGAGCAGGTTGGCAGGAGCATGGACAGGGTTGGCTCTGGGGTGACCAGAGCTCTCCCATCGCTTGGTGGATGCGGGCAGGCTTGCTTGTGAGGGGAGCAGTGCAGGTGCTTGTCATCCCTTGGAGTCATGGAATGGGTTGAGATGAAGGGAGCTTAAAGCTCCTCCAGCTCCAACCCCTGCCCCGGGCAGGGACACCTTCCACTAGAGCAGGTTGCTCCAAGCCCCTGTGTCCAACCTGCCCTTGAACACTGCCAGGGATGGGGCAGCCACAGCTTCTCTGGGCACCCTGTGCCAGCCCCTTCCATCAAGTTCCTTCGATTCATCATTGCATAGAACCACAGAAGGGTTTAGCTTGGAAAAGACCTTCCAAGATCATCTTGTTCAACCCCTACCATGGGCAGGGACATCTTCTGCTTGATCCGGTTGCTCCTTGCGCTTCATCCCGCCTCCTCCCACATGGAGAAGGTGACTGATGAAGGACACAAAGTCATTTGTCCCCATAATGCAGGTAAAGCCACTAATAGAGCAGATGCAGAGCTTTGCTGCCATGTGTCATGAGCAGGGAGCATGGACTGGATGGGGACCAGCACCCCGAGGGGGTCACAGTCTGCGGGCAGAGTGCAGGTCGTAGTCACTGTCCGAGGAGTTATCCGGAGGGTTGGAAGGTCTGAACGCTCGCTCCAGGGCTGTGGAGCGATGGATGCGTTGTTATAGTGGGTGGTTTGTTCCC